GGGCGGGCCAGCTGCGAGAGGGCGCGGCACACCCCACCACTACCACCACCACAACACCACCAAAACCCTTCACGACAATACCAACTGTGTATTTATCGACAAGCAAAGGGAAGTGAAAAACAGCAGGATAGGAGGCTGACGGAGCTGTTGTGTTGTGTGCTCGGAAGCGGGGGGGCAGAGCTTCAGAATGAGAAGATATCCGGGACGTGCCGGCGGCGGCACACGCGACACACGCACGCACACACTCGGACCCCCAATAAACTCTGCCCACATGAGAAAACACCGCCAATGTTTCTCTTTTTTCCCCTCTCTATTTTTTTTTTCCTTTCGTTTCCTCCTTGGAGGACGACGCGCGGGCGGCGGGAGGGGAGCACAGCAGGGCACACGGCGCCCGCACGGGAGGGCCCCTTTCGGCACCTCCTCCGCGCCCCGAGGTGGGGCCGCCCCCGGGGGCGGGGCGCGGCAGCCGCACCACCGTCACACCCTGTCCGCCACGCCCCACCGCGCCCCGCCCCGCCGCGCCGCGCCCCGCCCATCTATCGCTGCTCTGGCTGTTTGTGTAACATGACACTTAATTGAAAAGTGTGCGAGCGAGCAAACGTCCGAGGCGAGGCACGTCGCCGCCGTCGTCGTCGTCGTTCCGCGACGTTACGTTTCCCCCCCCCGCGGGCGGCCGCCACAACCTACCAAATAAGCGGCCGCCTCAGATCCACTCGCCTCGAAGCGACGCAAAGGCCACTGGGCCACTGCTGCGAGTGCTCCCTATTCACACGGACGCCCTTTACGGATTCCCCGCAGCTCCCTCATTGTCCCAACCTCCGCAAAAGGCAACCTTGACTAACTCTCACATGACCCTCCAACTGACTAACTGACTAACCCATACATAACCGGGCAGCTAGGTTCTTGCCACCCATATCCACAGCAACATGTCCACCCACAGTAGTATCCCTCTCCCTCTTGTGGGCTTCTCTATCGCAGGGCGACCCCACTACGGCCAGTACAGTGTCGTATGGGCATCATACACCACCGACCCTCCTCCTCCGCCGCCATATACCGTCGAGCGCGGAGAAACACTACTTACTGATAAAGACGAAGATCTGGTGGTGGGAGTAGCGCAGCAGCATGGACGTGGACACGGTCTGCAACAGATGAGTCATCATGAGAAGCAAATCGCACGCGAGAGAAGGGGGGAAAGGGGGAGAGTCAGTCGGCGCGCCGGCCGGCCACACAATTCATCACCCTTCAGTGCCGGCCGGCGGGGTGGGGTGG